CTACGACGTTTCGATCGCAACACAAGCGGCCCTGATGACGACCGCTTGTGTCGCGATCGAAACGTCGTCGTTTTTTGGTTATTTTCTTTGAACCTATCTACGTGACTTTAACGAAAGACCCGAAGAATAACGCAGATTCGACTGTTGTCGTTCTGCACTGAGAGAATGCAATTGTCACGTGCGTCGACTTTCCACGTCTACCAACAACGCCACGTCTAGGGGCCGTCCATAAATGACGTCATGCACCTGGGGGGGGGTCAGACATTTGTGACGATGTGTGACGAGAAGGGGTGAGTTTGAGAAATGTGACGTCACATAGAAATGCGCAACTATAAATAAATATATAATTGTTATAACAACACTACTTGTTATAACAACACTCCTACAACATCAGAGTGCAACGCCACATTAAATACGCACTACAACGACAATAGTTGAAAGCGATTTGAAACATGTTTTATTTTCAAAATGTAAATATGGTTTTGGGGGGTGGGGGGCAGAGCTTTGTGACGTTCATATTTGAGGGGGGGGTCTGACTTTTTGTGACGCCGTGTGACTAGAGGGGGGGGGGGGGGAGGTCAAAAATCGTCCAAAATCGCGTGACGTCATTTATGGACGGCCCCCAAGGCTGTCCCCTATTAAAAACATTACATACATTTGTCTTCAAGTCACATGAAGTCACCGTTCCGCAGGTCACTTGCAACTCGCCATAGCTATGATTGAGAGAGCTTATTCACAGCTCGGCGGATTGCCCGAGTCTCGTTCAGGAGTCTCATTCTGATATGTCAACCAACGGCGGCTGTGCTTTGCGTTTGAGATCGGACACCAATGAACGGCGTCAATCGTTAAACAATTCCGATGCGGTGATGTGGCAATTTTAAATATTCTAGATTTGATAGCTTTCGTGACTGCAAGGATTCATATTGTTAGGTTTTTTCGGTAAAGTCACGTTGGTAAAAATATTAAATTAAAATTAATAAAAGTAAAATAAAACATTTTAATATTGGCGAAACTACACATGCCCCCTTCAGTCAAATGTTTTGCTGATAAAATTCTAAAGCAATGTCACTCGATTCGGACAAAAAAAAAGACAAAACCCTTCCGTTTAATTCGAGTGTCAGAATCATTCGCCGCTACGGCTGTCCACTGCCCTCTGGCGGTCACAGCGTGCAACGTCAGAAAGAGATTCCAAGGCAGCCTCCTCGCTCCTGCGGGGGGCAGTCATGTTGCACAGCGGTAGGATGAGCGAGGCGGTGCATGTGTCGTAAGATTTGGGGCAGTCCATAAATGACGTCACGCTATTTTGAACGATTTTTAACCCCCCCCCCTTCGTCACACAGCGTCACAAAAAGTCAGACCCCCCTCCCCTCAAATATGACGTCACAAAGCTTTGCCTTCCCCCAAAAAATAAAACATGCTTCAAATCGCTTTAAACTATTGTCATTGTAGTGCGTATTTAATGTGGCGCTGCATTCTGATGTTGTAGGAGAAAACATTTATTTAAAAGGAGGCGTTGGAAAGCTGAAATTTAGCATAAAATGTACTTGAAAATATTCAACGTTTAACTAAAACTGCAGATGTTCAGAATATTACATTGAAATTCTCTTACAATTATAAAATATTAAAAGTAATTATAACTATTAATAAAATAAAACGAAGCAAAATGGAGAGTACAATTATAACAATCACATATTCATTTCACAGAATGAAAAGCCTTGGTAGAATCATTAAAATCAAAATGTTTAATAACAATAATTGAAAAAATTTACAAAATTGATGCTTCTCCATTCTCCCATGGAGAAGCAAAATGCTCCTTCATATCCAATAGTTAATAATGAAAATTAATCAAAATGAGTGTTATAACAATTCTATTAAATTAACATTTATTTAAATTTGCGCATTTTGATGTGACGTCACATTTCTCAAACCCCTCTCCCCCCCCTCCTCACACATCGGTCCAGGCTGAGGATATTTAAATGAACAAACATTGCATTTATACGGTATTCCATTCTTGCGTATGAAGGCGAAATGTTCAGGAACTCAAAGCCAATGTGGAGGTCTTGCGAGCCGCGAGAGGGCTTCAAGGAGAGTGTTTGTGTCGTCTTCATATTCCTCCTCCACTCAAGGAGAGCAGACTCCGGTTGCTTACTCGATCATCAATTGTTCGGGCTGCATGGCCGCAATTGCGCCCTGGCTTGTCGTTTAATGTTCCATTCGTGAAGGAGATGTTGGGCATCGGCTTGTTGCTGGTTCTTCCAATGTCTTCGAGGAATGGGCAAAGCCACGGCGTGCGATGTTTGGGTCTTGAATGACCGGGGGCATGTTTATTGTGGACGTCCGCTTTGTTGCACTCTGTTCGCCAGCGTTCTTCCGCATCTGGATGAGACTCGTGTCATTGCTACAGATTCTAAAGCCATTGCTGCAGATGGCTGATGCATTAAATCACAAATGAGAAATAAGGCAACGCTCACCTGCGCGTTGGTGGCCTTTAGTCATTGTATTTGTCGCTGGTGTTGGCCATGAGTAGGAACTGAAATCGTGCTGCCGGGTTCTCAGCGCAGCACGCTAACACACCTCCAACTAGCACGGCTGGCCTATGTAGGGTGCGAAATAAGTTCGACATATGTAAAAAAACTGTGCCACCGCTCCCCACAAATATATATAAGCTAGTGAGATACAGTACTGTATGTAAGTATACTTCTTCTTCCTAGCGTTGTTCCCGCTGTGGCACAGGGTCCGCTTTTCGGCATTGTCTTCTCCATTTGGCTCGGTCCAGGGCATCTTCGGGGGATGCGTTGACCGTCTTCATGTCTTCCTCTATTCGATCCATCCATCGCTTCTTCGGACGTCCGCGTGGACGGCGGCCCTCTGGCTCAATACGCATGGCAGTCTTGGCCACTGATGACTCTTCACTTCGCATCACACGGCCGTACCACCGACGCCTCACTGTATGTAAGTATACATAAGTACAATGTAATATATGGCACACTGCTCTGGCCGTGATATCCAGTGTGAGATCCGATTGAACGGCTGCCAGTTGGAAGGTAAGAGGGTTTCTGCTACCATGGCTGGCAAGCTGCTACTGCTTGCGACGGTGGTAAGGGATACCTTGCCCGTCGAATGAGTTCTGATTGACAAGTTGCCCACACGATACTTTGGGTTTGACGCTGTTGCCATGAGAGCATCCGCAACGCACGAGATTTGGGAGCTGCGAGGTTTGACAGTGTTACAACGTCATCGTCACTTTTTTTTCTTCTTGGTTCTTTCGGTAAAGTCACGTAGAAGGGAAGTAATAAAATAATAAAAATACAACATAATAAAATAATTCTCACGACGTTTCGGCCACAACGCAAGCAGCTGTCCTCAGGTGAAGACCAGGTCTGTCGGGGAGACAGCGTCATTCATTCAGACGCCGTCTCCCCGACAGACCTGGTCTTCACCTGAGGACGGCTGCTTGCGTTGTGGCCGAAACGTCGTGAGAATTATTTTATTATGTTTTATTTTTATTATTTTATTACTTCTCTTCTACGTGACTTTACCGAAAGAACCAAGAAGATGAATCCCTGCAGTCACGAAAGCTTTAAATCGAAAAGTCATCGTCACTATTAGCCATCCGCGTGTTCTGTTCTTGCGTATGATGGCGAATTTGTTGCGGAGATGAATGCCAATGACGAGATCTGCTCGCCACGAGAGGGTTGCAGGAGGGAGAGTTTGTGCAGTTTTGCTATTCCTCCTCCATCGCACCTCCGACTAGCACGGTCGACTACATACGCTGGGGAAATGTTCAACATAATTCGTTGAAGGAGCAAACAAACGTCAGTGGCTTACTAGACGGTCTATAGTTTGGGTCGCATGGTCACTCGCGCGCTGTGGCCTGACTTCAATGTTTACACTTAAGGGAGATGCGCGCATCGGCCTGTCGCTGTTCCACCGGCGTGGGTCTCGAATGAGGTGCTGATTTCTGGATGACTGCGCTTGTTCAACGTTGTCCGCCAGCGTTTTTCTGGATCTGGGCGAGACTCCGGAATGGTGACAGTGGCAGCAGCGCCAACTCAGAACGGAGATGGGCACGAGTCGTAAGTGGCGGGGGACATTGCTGAGGTCTTGTTTCATGGCGAGCCCGGTTGTCGTGTCGTTTTGCACCTTCTCTGCAGAATATTTGGTGGCAGAATATTCGCCAAAACAGGGAGGCCAGGCGATTGGCAGCTGTTTCGGTGTTCTGGTTATCGCATTTGCACGCAAATGTTGCTGAAAATACACCCCGTAGGAAAGAAGCCCCCCCCCCCCCTCATGCCGTTGCAATCCCACAAGGGCCAGCGATGCCACAATCCATCTCACAGCCCTGCCCATAACTTGCGCCCTAATCGTCGCAGTGGTCATCTTTCAACTCTGACCTACCGCTAGCTGCAGCCCCTTATCCACCTCCGGGGGTGTCTGCCCCCCCCCCCCCTCTACTCTTTCCCCAGCCCCAATCTCTAATCAATTATATTTGATGGTGTCAAGCCACGTTTCTCATTGTTGGGTGTCTTGCACATGAGCCGATCTTATCAATTACATCCGTTTTGCATTTGACTCCGACTCTGCACGTTCAATCTTAACATCTGAGTTGCTAGGTGAATCCTACATAGTATTATCATAGTAATAAAAATATGATATGATGAATGTGGCTTAACGGTGTGGGCTAAAGCAACGTTATTTCCAAAATGAATTTCGGTCATGAATTCGGTTCGGGCAACTGGGTCGTATTCGCTATTGTCGGCATCGGATGACCATGAATAATGTACGGGGATAAAATATTTATCCGAGTTGGCTAGACACAAACAGAAATGCTTAAAATTGTAAAAGGCTAGAACAATGAAAGTGTACCCATTGAAAACAAGTGATTGATATGATGATTACAGTAATAATGACACTCCATATGGCAACAACTGTAATCTACGTGCACGAATCGTGCCTTCATTGCATTTCATAGCAACTCAAATTGGTGTAAATATTAAGAAATAGCATGCATCGTCATTATAAATAGACTCTTTTTTATTCAATAGATCGTAGAATAATTTAACCAAAATTAATTCCAAACAAAACTGTAACATCCCGTATTTTAGTTGGTCTGTGGTAAACGTGGCTTTCAAATTACATTCCTTTCGTGACATTTTTTGTTTCGAATGCAGATCTTCTGTAGCTGTTTGACCACGGCACAGGTAAAATAACAGGATGTAAAAATTGAATGCAATTGCGAAAATCACACTCGTAAACGTGAAGATATTAAACATTGGACACGTTTGTACACAACAATCCAATGCATTGTTCAAAAACCAACACAACAACTCAACATTTACCACGAACAACTCACACGAACAATTATTTCAAAGCCCCATGTTGCCCAAAGTCAAGATTGCTTATCTAGTTGCCATCGTTACAATCATATTCATCTCTCCCATCGGAATTGCCATTGTCTAAAAATCTTGAGCAAACTATTTAATTATAGCATTTAAATACAGTTATGAAAAGCACTCTCTTCAATGAAGACTACATAAACACATCACTCATTCCAATTTACGAGGCACTAAATACACGAATAACAAGAGTAAAATATATTGCATTTGTGAATTCCATGTCTTGTTTTTAGATTAATCGAACGTTAGTGGTAGTGCAATACCACGGGACAATCTTTAAAAACATTGACAGATAAAATCTAATTTTTAAAATCTGTCGATAGACACCTTCACGAAACTGCACCACGAGCAGCATATTATTTTTGGCACACCAGCATTACCAAACAATATTTTGGAATATAAATATTTTAAATGTAGTCAAGGAATGTTTCAAAATGCCAGGAACTCCAATTTGCAGTGTTGTAAATGCATACTATTTGACAAGCGCTGCTTTCGCGACAGTGTTGATGAGGATGAACTTACAGTTGGACACACTACACAATAACTATGCTTACTGTAATTTGTTTACATTCAACTTGAAATTAATATTTGCGCCAAAAGTCAGCGAATGCGTTGAGGTGAAGGAATGTAACACAGGCATTACTTCATAAAATGTCTAATGCATCAAAACGTTGGCTTTTTAATCCTTCATTACAGCCGATGGAAAACATTCCATCAAAATGTTACGCTGCAAATAATTGCAGACCACTCCGACAATTTACACAGTAACCCGTCGGGCTGATGATGGCCTATGAGACGCGACCTAGATTCATTCAAAGAGTTGCATGTACTGCACGTAAGCGTGTATAAATAGTGTAAAATGTATCTCGTACGGTGTATATACAATTAACCTCGTCTATATGTATACATTGCCACGTACCCTGATATTGTTTGCAAAACAAAGTAATTCCCTCTCATTATAGTTCTCCGACGTGTTATGTGGTTGCGTCTCGTGTTATTCGGCACGATGTTCGACGTTTCAGGAGCTGTGAGCTTCTTCAGGACGTGGAGCGAAACGTCGGACACCATGTCGAAACTAACGGGTGGCACAACCCGGACACACGGCGGAAGAGCCGTACAGTCCAACCACGGAAAACCTACACAGTGGTTTCCGCTTGCTCTCAATATGGCCACGTCGTTTCAGACTCGGCCCCCGCTAGCAGGATTTCCCATTGGCCTGGCCAGCCTCCAGGGCGATGTATGGGATACCGAATTCCCACGAGCGTTTCGGCCAGTAGCAGACGCGAGGCTTGAGGTGCGGCACCTCCGTCACAGCTTCAAAGTAAGAGAAGAGCACGCAGCAGTAAGTGCTGGAGATGGCGATCATCACGTGCCTGCAGAGACGAGGAGGAGGAGGAGAGTGAGAGAGAAGGGATGTGAGCCGGGTGAGCTGGCAGCCGTGGGGTCACGTGCATCCCCGGAGTATGCTGGACAGCAACATGAAGAGCAGATACAATCAAACTCCTCTTATCTGTGGTCCTATTACCCTTAAATCCTATTATACCGTGGTGGATTTAGGATTAGCGGAAACGCTTGTTATCTTTGCCCACATTCTACTAACGTATTGACGATTATTATATCTGCATTTTTTCTCCCATCCAGCATTGTGATATGGATAAAAATCGACCAGGATTTGTTTTCACATATTATCCACACGGTTAATGTGGTGATATTTTTCAGATGCGTGCAGAACATTTATGGAGAGCATTGCAGATAGTAGGATCTAGATTAGGATCCGTATTGTTCAGCCTACTAATAAGAGGAGTTCGATAGTATTCCTATTTCTGTATTATCAATATGAGCAGTTTCAGGCTGCTTTTATTTGAAATACGACGTATTACCAATCGACGGCCCCAAAAGATAAATACATTTTTAGACTTTTTCTTAAACTATCAGACAATTGCAAGTATCTTTATCATCTTTATCTCATGATCCCGTGATAAGATTGCGATCCTGTGATGCAACAATCCATCCAGTTACTTCGGACCAGCTTATTTCATTGCTCAGCAGTGGCTGTCCACTCGGACCCGTTACATCCCATGAATGGGCGCCACGGTGGCGAGATGTTAACTCCCTCGCCGGGTATACAAGAGGACGTGGAGTTCGATCCCGACCCTGACACCTGTATATTTGGAGTGTGCATGTTATCCCCATGGTCGCATGGATTTTTCTCTGGGTCCTCCGGTTTTTCTCTCCACATTTTATAAACATGCGTTTAAAGTATTTGGCTGCTATACATTTCTGCGTGATAAGCCACTTCGTTGAGCCATCATTTACGGCCAGGCCGCTTCTGAAAAAGAGCTACGTAGCTCAGTGGCCCTTAACTGGAAAAATAAAATGAGTTTAGTTTTCAGTCATTATTCTTGACTATCGGCCCGACCAGTCATCGTCGCACGAGAGAATACTGCCGTGGCGGGGTGCTCGTAGACATAGTAGACATCTCACCAGATGCTGTGCAGGTACGGGAAGCCCAGACCCTGCCAGAAGGAGCACTGGAAGCGGTCGCTGATCCAGCAGGCGATGGCCAGGCTCCAAAGGATGACAAGCATCAAGGCCAGCCGCAGGACATCGCGATTGGCACACCTGCCAATGGCCGAAGGGGTCACGTGACTAAAAGAGCTCGTGCAGTACGGCGTCTGGAGATGGCTGTTGCTCATCACTGCTGACCGCTTTAGTGTCATGTGCCCAACGGCAATGTCTTTAGCTCGAACTCCCTCCACTCTGTCCAATCTTGAACTGTCATTTCACTGTACCCCATTCCATTCGAGTGGGATTGCCACCTGTCCTGATTTTCGTCCAGGATTGTCCTCTTTTTGAGGCAGCTATCCGGGGAAATCTGTGAGTCTTCCCAGAATGGTAAACGTTAAACGTTTTTCGCTTTCGGCAGTCGCTGATGGCTATCTCAATACATTTTGTTCAATGTTTTATATACGGCCACGTTTTCGATAGCAGCAGCATAAATAGCCCAGCACACCACAGCACATGACAATCAGAAGGCTAAGCTAATCATCCCTCTGGAGATGGTAAAATGAGTAGCACTTTGTAGGAAGTCAACAGCTGATGTCCTATAGTTTGGCTCACCCCCTACATGCCATGCGAAGGTGGCATTGGAACCACTGGCTCAGGGTTTTAGAGAGGAGATGAACAACTCACCATGCTAACTTCAAATGGGGGAAGCGCTTAAGATTATTGTAAGCGTCATTGACCCTTTCCCGGTTTAAATGAGTGCTAACTACAGATGTAATAGATGTGTTTTACGAAACCATGGTTTGGATTGACCACAGGGTCAGAACACCGAGCCGGCACTGCTGAGCTCCCGGGTTCAAATTTGGCTTTCAGACAATCGCGTAATTAAACTGATGATTTGAGTACAGTCAGCTAATGGTATCAGCCTGGCCACCAATGACCGCACACACAAAAAATCACCATCGAATTTGGATTTAACTTAATTTGGCTTATTCCGGCTCTGAGAATAAAAATGTTTAATTTTGAAGAGGTGAACACACTGTACAAGGGATATCAAAGGTGTAGTATCCCTGGTTTGGACAAATAATCCTATTGAAGTTCATCTGGAAGGAGTTCCCTGATAGAAAATTACAGGGCTGTCCTCTGACACAGGGTAGTGCACTGCTATCTGCACGAGTTCCGAGTGGAAACGTCTTCGTTTCATGAAGTGGCACCTACATCACAATTGAAACATAATTGATAAGTAAATATAGTTTGGGGAAAGCTTGTTTAAAGTAATTAGCTCTTACAAGCGGCCTCTATACAACATATATTGTATCACTAATTATCGACCATGAGCAGATGCACACTGTGTTTTAATAATAACTGTCAATTTGATTTAATTAGGATGGCATCTGTTGCAGATCCTAAAATTGTCAGCATCAGTAATTGGTCATTATAACATGATTAATGATTTGAACACTTAGTTTATGCATTTTTGCAATGGACCACCTTTAATTCCAATACAGCACAATTGGCATATTTGATGCTGCAAACTCTTATTTTCCATTTTTATTAAAGTATAAATGTTAAGTATAATCAGTTCATCTGTCATCATTATTAAGCTTCTCCCATTATAACAATTTATTATTTAATTTACAACTATTACAGCTGAAGAGGATCTCTGGATTAGCAATGTTGATTATCGAGTCTACTGTATAACGGAATGCTGTTGCTTGAACAATGCATATTATTAAAATACTTGAGTGTCACATTTAAATGTATTCTGGAATTTTTTTTTAATAAATGGAATATAATTTGCAGAGCTGTCCAACCTCCCGCAGTGCAAAGAGGGCTTTAGTTCTTACACAAAAAATTAAATCTAGAAACATCAAAGCCACGGCAATGTAGACAATGGCCCCTGCTCACACAATGGCTTGTGTTTTGAAAAATAACGTCACAGAATCCTTACCATCAACAGAATATCCAATTTGCAACATTCCAAGGGCGCTGCACTCAGCAAATGGGGCTGTCATCAACCGTCAAATCGGGTCGGCTTTTCGGTCGCAAAACAACGTGGGGCGCGGTGCTGCATCGTGCTGGAGTGCTCGCTGGGCTGAGGGCGTAGGTAGGTGTGTGTGGTGTGTGTGGGTGGTGGTGGGAGCGCACCTCTTGATCTCTGTGACCATAACGTAGATGATCTGCAGGGCGATGCTGTTGAGCGCGTAGGCGTTGATGGTGGGCCGCAGGAAGGAGAGCACGGAGCAGGCCAAGGCACCAACGAGCACGAGCACTCCGAAGTGAAACCTGCACGAGAGGCGACACGCGCCACGACGATTGAGCCCGACTTGGCATTAGCCACCCACCAGAGGTCGCAACCGGGTACCCGATACCCGTACCCTACCTGATACCCGGCTACCCGTACCCGGCCAGGTACGGGTAGCCGTTTGTGACCCTGGTGCGGCCGGGTACGGGTACGGGTAGGCCGTGAGTCACCGGTGTGTAACCGTTTGTCACTCATTTCGGGTAGGGTATGGGTACGGGTAGGGGACGGATACGGGTAGGGAACGGCTACGGGTAGCCGTTTGCGACCCTGGTGTGGCCAGGTACGGGTACAGGTAGGCCGTGAGTCACTGGTGAGTCACCGTTTGTCACTAATTTCGGGTAGGGTACGGGTAGGGTACGGGTAGGGTAGGGTACCCATTTGCGACCCTGGTGTGGCCGGGTACGGGTAAGGAATCAAAACCCGTTTTCCACCTCTGCCACCCACCCCCTCGTGTGCCGTGCCGGCCTTCATAGGTGCTGCTCGCTAACAGCACTTGCGCCAAACAGTCTGTTAAGGCTACACGGGGGATCTTAGTTTTTTTTGTCTTGTCTCCTCGTGTGTTCGTACGGTTGTATCATCTGTGCGGCTCGTTTAGTCGTCTGGGCAAAACATTGAGACGAGTCAACTATTGTGTAATTCAACTAGAAACTTGTTGTGAAATTGTATAGTTTAATACATCCATGGAGCGCGTCCACGTTACAGAATTATGTGCTTCCTACGACCGTGGCTATTATAGTAAGCCTTTACACACACATTTAGGGGGGGGGGGGGGGCATTTGTTTTGCTCCGAAAACCAGATTGAACAAACAAATGGTTCTGCTTTGAATTCATGCCCGATGGAGTCAAGTTCTCTCCTCCTCCCCGCCCAGAGACTCCATCTGTCCACCGCACGTTCCCTGCATTCTCATTCATTGCACAACAGCATGTGTCCACCCGTCGACTCAAACGTTTAAAGCAATGCATTTTTAAAAGAGATATAAAAAAAAATACATTAGGATTAGCATGGTGAACAAAAGTTGGTCAGTTGTTATTTTCTGATCTGGGTGAAATGTCATAGGTCACTATCAATACCATCGGGTCCCCCCCCCTCCCAGTTCCTTCCAGTCAGAATGACGAAACTCTGCCCGATAAAAGTCATGCAAGAGGGCGTTGCGAATAATACGGACTCAAAGATGCACGCGAGAGGTTTATTATAACGCGATTCTAAATAATTAAACGACTGCGTACAATGCAGCCTTGTAATGCTGGTGGTGGGGGGGGGGATGGGGTGGGGCTTAGCTCCCCCATTGCTGAATGCTCAGCACCACCTCTGCATTATCAAGGACAAGTCAAACATGTAGGCACCCTCGTATACGCGGGAGGGGAGAGCCAGAGGAGAATGTATGATCGACGAAAGCAAGTCGCATCGTTGCGATACGATTTGCTTTGTAGCAACACTAAGCTATAGATATTTTTTCAGAAACGACCTGGCCAAAAATGATAGCTCAACGAAGTGGCTTATCACGTGGAAAAGTAGAGCAGCCAAAATACTCTAAACGCACGTTTATAAATGTGGAGGAAAAATCCGGAGGACCCGAAGAAAAACCCACGCGACCACGGGTTAGAGACACAGAAAACTCCAAATACACAACAGGCGTCAAGGTAGGGATCGAACCCACGACCTCCTGTATAGCAGGCGAGGTAGTTAACATCTCCTAGCCACCGTGGCAACCCAGAAACGTAGCTAATGTGCAGTGCTGGGGCCACTAAAGTGCCAGAAATGCGCCCGATCCTGTCGGACGTGGGCCACTAGGGCAGGGAGTACCCGGAGTACATCCCCGATGTTCTGCCTCGTTCGAAGGGTGGCCAAGCTAGAAGAGAGTGTCTTTGTGAGCAGCAGAGGGCAGCAGCAGCATCTATACAGGATTCATCTTCTTGGTTCTTTCGGTAAAGTCACGTAGAAGGGAAATAATAAAATAATAAAAATAAACGTAATAAAATACAATTCTCACGACGTTTCGGCCAAGACAGCTGTCTTTCCGACAGACCTGTTCCACACCTGAGAACGGCTGCTTGCGTTGTGGCCGAAACGTCGTGAGAATTGTATTTTATTATGTTTTATTTTTTATTATTTTATTATTTCCCTTCTACGTGATGACTTTACCGAAAGAACCAAGAAGATGAAGCCCTGCAGTCACGAAAGCTTTAAATCGAAATCTGTACACGAGTTCTACTCTCACCCACACCGTGGGACACCCCTTGCCAATGAGGCGTGGTTGTTGTTGTTGTTGTTGTGGTTGTTGTTGTTGTTGTTGTTCCACAGCAGCAAGGGATTTTACAAGTGAAAAACATTTCGGGAAATGAGCGATATAACTAACCCCCGTTCACAAAGCTGCGCTGACCAGCGTCGAGTAAGTTATGAGGCCGTCCATAAATGACGTCACGCACCTAGGGGGAGGGGGGGCGGTCAGACATTTGTGACGATATGTGACGAGGGGGGGGGGGGGTTGACAAATGTGACGTCACATCAAAATGCGCAACTTTAAATAAATATAGACAACACGTTCTACTTAATTAAATAGACTTTTTCATACATGTTTTCTCCTACAGCATCAGAGTACAGCGGCGCATTAAATACGCACTACAATGACAATAGTTTAAAGAGATTTGAAGCATGTTTTATTTGTTTTGGGGGGGGGGAACCAGAGCTTTGTGACGTCATATTTGAGGGGGGGTCTGACTTTTTGTGACGTCGTGTGACGAAGGGGGGGGGGGGGTCAAAAATCGTCCAAATTCGCGTGACGTCATTTATGGACGGTTCCTATGGTCAGCTGTCATCGTTTGACCTAACGTCACCGTGCTGTTCAGTTCGGGTCGGCGAAGGTGGCACGCGCATCGGGGATGAGTGGCGTTCGCTTCGCTTCACCTGTGCTGCCGAGAATATGGCCGCACAAGCCCAATACGAGAACCTGTTTGCGGTGGTCACCACCCACCATCCAAGCAACATCCAGGCTCAAGCCTGCTCCGATTCTGAGATCTGACAAGCTCTGGTACAGTCTGGGTGATTTGGTCAAAAGCAACAGCAAATGCACTTGAATTACGAGTTAGTGTTGTGGATATAGCAAACTTATTTTGAAACGTAATTTGAAAATGCTGTCTCGTTACAACTCTTTCTATACATTACCCCATGCATGCGCTGCGTTTTGAGATGCGGTTATGGTCCGGTGAATTATAGATACAAATTGTATCGTTAAACCGTCTCAAGTCATGAGTCGAAATTGGTGTCTGTGCACTGCTGCAATCGTAATTTTTTTTTAAGTGTGAGTGCATGTTGATGAAGGTAATATTTGGGTGTTTGAGTCTAGGATTGTCCCACGAGTGAAAGGTATTAAAGAAACCTGTTATGCCGGTCATTTCGTGCAGCACTGGGGTGTGTTTGTGTCACGAAGGCATTTATTACGCCTGATGCCATTAGGGGCCGTCCATCAATGACGTCACGCGATTTTGGACGATTTTTGACCCCCCCCCCCCTCGTCACACGACGTCACAAAAAGTCAGACCCCCCTTCGAATGACGTCACAAAGCTCTGCCCCCCCCCCCAAATAAAACATGCTTCAAATCGCTTTAAACTCTTGTCATTCTGGTGAGTACTTAATGTGCCGCTGCACTCTGATGTTGTGGGAGAAAACATTTATTTAAAAGTATATTTAATTAAGTAGAACGTGTTGTCCATATTGATTTAAAGTTGCGCATTTTGATGTGACGTCACATTTCTCAACCCCCCCCCCCCCTCGTCACACATCGTCACAAATGTCTGACCCCCCACCCCCCCCCCAGGTGCGTGACGTCATTTATGGACGGCCCCTTACACAACACAGCGTTGCAGCAAATTCACTTCAAATTACTTTGGCAGTTTCCTATTAAACACAAATTTGGGGCGATTTTGAAGAATACCGTATGTGATGTTTAAATTCATTTCGCATGTGGTCTGTAGTAGAAAGGCACATTGTATGATCCGTGGTGTGTGAGGAGCGGAGGTGTAGCGGTTAGCGCGCTGCGCTGTGAACCTGGCGACCCGGGTTCGATTCCCGCTCATAGCCCAACACCCCAGTGACGATTATCTGAACCGGTCCCGGGCCTCCCCTAGGTCGACTCAGCCTCAAATGAGTACCTGGTGCGATGTGTAAACATCGTCACTAGGGAGACAAAGGCGCTAACAGCACTTGCCCCAAAAGTCTGTTAATGCTAAATGGAGGATCTTTGTTATCACGATGAAACGTGTACCCCTCCCAGGGACCATCTGTGCCGGTTTGGCCGGCATGACACGGGCTGGAAAAGAGATGGCCTGATGCGGTACAGAAGTATGTGGAGCAAAGTGGACTTGTCGATGACTGATACCAGCGGTGTCAACATCGGCCTCTATGGAGGAGGCAATCACCCTCCAACAACAACAGAGGGCAAAGGCGTGAATCTCACAATAACGAGCGGAGTGCCTAGGCAGCAAGTTGGCACAGTAGGGGGCACAGCTGGTAGTACATCTGTCAGCCATCTCAGTCAGCCATCTCAGTCAGTCAACCCATGGCACCAGGTTCTGTCCCATGACCTTCTGTCAGCGAGCCCTTCGACACTTCATGTTGCCTCAAAGTGCACCTGGCCTGGCACAGGCGTCGTGGTGACATCACTTGGTGGCGAATGGCGGCTGGAAACAGGTAAAAGTCACAATGATGCTGCCATGGTGCAATGGGTATCACACGGATTGCTGATTTATCAGATTCTATCTCCTGGCACGGCAGTTTCAACAATGGGAACGTTACTTAAATCCCCACCCAGCAATGTAAAAATGGGTATCAGCGTGGCGGGTCGCGTGTAGTTACTACCACCAAGATGCCGACCAGTGTGTAAAAGTAGGCCAAATGCTAGACCTCCTTCTAGTGGCGGCCTTTCCGCAAGTAGTAGTGCTATCAAGCAATTGCAGGGCTGCACCTTTACCTTTCACGTAGCTGAATTTCAATAACAGAGTACAGTAACTGCACTATTGGGGGGGCGTGATTTATTAATCCTGAAACTAGTTTTCCGATACAAATTTAACTAATTATTTGGCAATTAATTATTCGGTCGCTGCATTGGTAGTGGTGCACAAGCGCAAGCAACAACGAAAAAACTCAACACACAACAATACTTAAAATGAAATTATATTATATCTTATTTTTCTCCGTACACACGTTTCCTATGAAGAGGAGCCGATACCTGAAACGTCACCTATTATATATTTGTTCGCTTTTAAGGCCACAAAGTGTTCTCGATGACCGTGATCCCCCTTGCTGCTCCCACGTGAAATGTGGCAGTCGACATATCTGCTGGTGGGCCTGAGCCAATGACAAAAACTCCATGTTCCTATGATACGAGGCCAAGTCCACATTATAGATCTGGCACCATGACAAACAGTTGGGGCACCCTTGCTGTGGAGTGTAACCAGTAACCCTCGTGGCAAGTTGTGTGTGATTGATGTGTGGTGACCCATGCGTGTGAGATTATGCAACAAGACACAGCTACATGGCGATGGCCCGGTCATGGTTCGGAGATCAGGCCACTGAGCTGGCACCGTAGAAATCATGGCTTTTGAAGCCGTGAAGCCCACCCACGATTAAACTGGGTTCCCTAGTGAAGTGAGTTGTCAGTTCACGGTGCCAGCCCAGTCAGCAGTGACTGCAGAAACTGTCAAATCGAATGTAGTCTTAAACGTACCATTTGGATCAGTTTAACACGTATGCTTTCGCTATCAATATTATCCATAATAAAGGGTTTTTTGGGTAAGACACATTTATATTTACGCGATCCAACCCAAAAAAAACGTATGGATAATATTTATATACATTCCAGTTCAGAGAATGAAAAATATCCATCTGATCGTTATGTAATTATCAACGTCATCGAGGAGAGTAAGGGCAAAATGCAAACCCGGCTGCGTACAGGATAAAGAAGGCAACTCTGAGAAGTTCCGTGGGAAAGAAAACCTCTTGGGCAGCCATTCTCCGACACACGGGATCGTACTGCTGCTCTGCGATCATTCCGAATGGCATCTTCACTTCATGGCGCGACACCGCCAGCACAATTGGAATAAATCGGGGGGAGAGAATTACCCAAATCAAAATGAAAGAAACAAAATATATCTTCTTGGTTCTTTCGGCAAAGTCACGTAGAAGGGAAGTAATAAAATAATAAAAATAAAACATAATAAAATAATTCTCACGACGTTTCGGCCACAACGCAAGTAGCCATTTTCACTTGAGGACGGCTGCTTGCGTTGTGGCCAAAACGTGGTGAGAATTAGACGCTGTCTTCTCGACAGACCTGTTCTTCACCTGAGGATGGCTGCTTGTGTTATGGCCGAAACGTCGTGAGAATTATTTTATCATGTTTTATTTTTATTATTTTATTATTTCTCTTCTACGTGACTTTACCGAAAGAACCAAGAAGATGAATCCCTGCAGTCACGAACAATTTAAATCGAAACAAAATATAGTTGCATGCTCAACATATTCTTCCTGTAACCTAATTCACTTGCTCGGCTTTACACGTTACATCAACTAAACTGTGAACTAATCTATTTTTATTTTACCAGCTGTGGCACACCGAGCTACTTAGCTCTTTTTCAGAAGCGATCTGGCCACAAATGATAGCTCAGCGAAGTCGTCTAATCACTGTCAGCTCGTGTTTCAAATATGTGAAGGGAAAAAACCCGGAGAGCACGGAGAAAAATCCACGCGACCACGGGGAGAACACGCAAACTCCAAATATACAGCAGCAGGCGTCAGGGTCGGGTTCCAGCCCACGACCTCCTGCATACCAGGGGAGGGAGATATTATCACTGTGGCACCAAAAACAACCTTGCTGACCTCACCTGCACTGAGTTATTTGGTTTTGGTCATGAGATAATGTGTAAAGGCAAGATTATAGACTTTTACTGTTAAGAATTGTTTAATGTGTAATGCAAAGTCAACGAGAGCCACATGTTTTAAGATATTTCACATTCCTATTAAGCATTGTTGACTTTCAAATATTGATCCTGGTCTAGCCAGCAAGGCTGCCTTCTGTGTGAAAGCTCAAATCGCGTTAATCATTGTTTCTGCCATGATCATATTTACTTTAATAAATACTTAAGGAGTGAACCTTAGGGGAAATTAAATAAATAAGGGGACGATACACCGCCTTCACATATCTGTCCATTCACGACCTTTTGTTTTTTACACATCCCATTCGCCCCACGGCCTTCCGGGAGTGCATAACTACAGCAAGAACATGCACACACTTCGGGAAATTGTCGTTTCAAATGTTAGATTTGTGATTATCTGTTTTGATGTCTTAGACTTGAGTGAGAATATGAACCTTATGGCGGGACCCCGGGGTCCCGAATCAACGGAAGTCAAAATCGTAATTAACAAATGTATTTTGGCGACTCCGTCCCTCCGCGCACATCAACGCCGCGACCCACCTGGCGCGGATCGTTCTGTTGTCGTGTCGTCCAAGCGCAGCGGCGAGGACGAATGTGCAGAAGAAACAAAACTTTGAAAGTTTGATTAGCGCATCGTGTAGAGCTCGTCGAGAGGAATAGATTGCCATGTCGTTCACCTTCAACAGACGTAAAATGACGTTTATGCGAGTCCCGCCATAAGGTTCATATACCGATCCACGAATTTGAGCGGTGAAATCAAACCAGGAGCAGGTGTTGGGTGGATTTGTTACATTGCAGGATCATGAGAGATGGTAGCAGATTTGGGAAGCCTTCATCAACCAGTGGATAGAGCGTGGCTGGTGATAATGACGATGGGCCCTGCCCAAAACTGACTTGAACACGGACATGGTGACCTGTCTACTGTGGGTGTGGCAAACGGAGAAGTATGGCAATTAAAAGAAAATAAGCACTGCATATGTTGACTTGTGATGGGGTCTACTTAAATTTTTACCTGGGTCGCCATTTAAAAGACCTTTCAGCTTAATAGGCCTTACCTGAAATAAACTGACTGACTGACTTGGAAAACAAGGAAGCAGTGAATTCTGTAGTTGGTTGTACAGTACGTGATATGTTATCTACAAATATCCCGACATGAGCTTGCTCGGCCTGCAATGATTCATAGCTTCATGGATTAGAATTGATTCTTGCACTTAATATACACACGCAAAATTGTGCAGCGTGTAATACTCAACTCTTTAAGATTCATATGGATTAGATCTTAATGATGGAAACAAGAGATCGCAAACAAGACGCAACACACGACATGGTGATCGGAATCAGGGAGCGCGCTAACCACTGTACCACGGCTCGACCCCAAAAATAATAATAATTTAGTCTCCTTAAATACCAACTCCATTCCCCTACCGCCGTAGGACAGCGAGCCCGACCGCCCCCGCACCGATCAATCCCTAATTGTTAGGGTGTGTTGCGGCGAGTTCGTGACACGTGAGGGGTTCCCCCCTCTTTTTGAAATCTACTTCGAGTTTCTAGAATGTCAATTTTTTTAAAAAAATGTCTCAACAAAATACAATAAATGCAAACTCCAAAGTGACAGGCGACAGTGACGAAACGGGTGTACGTCGTGCACGACCTCTCGCTGGGAAATGTGCAAACTTCGCCGGACATTTGACCAAGTGTGCGGCCTCTTGCGACTTCCCCGTCACGGTTGGCGCACCTGTTCCTGTTGAGCACCTTGGGGAAGAGCCTCTTGGGGAACCAGAGCACGTAGGCGGTGGCGAGCACCCACAGGATAGACAGCTCGTCAAGCAGCTGCCCCACGTAGCTCAGCGTCCAGTGGAAGTAGATGGAGCAAGCGCCTGCCGCAGGAGAGGACGACATCAAAGGAATGACCTCGCAAAATGTGCCGACATTTTCACACCTCCCGATTAGCACGGTTGGCTACGTACAGTGCAAAAGAAGTTCAACACGCATACATAGGCCACGGTAGCGGGAGGTCGTGGGTTCGATCCCGACCCCGACGACTCTATATTTGGAGTTTGCGTGTTCTCCCCGTTGTCGTGAGGATTTTTTCTCTGGGTGCTCCGGGTTTTCCTCTACATTTAGAAACAAGCGTTTGTAGTATTTGACTGCTATAAATGTCTACATGATAAGCCACTTGGTTGGGCTATCATTAGTGGCCAGGTCGCTTCTGAAAACAACTAATAGCTTGGTGAGCCTGACCTGGTAAAGTTACATTTTTTAAATAGTTTAGTTTTGTACGTACAGGCACGCGGGAACACTTTGCTCCTTCGCATCCGTGCCTTTACCGTAATCCGCAAGGCGCGTCTTTCTATTTTCACGTTCACGTAAAAAAGAAACAACACGTTTACAGCACCTTCCCTGTCCATCGTGTTTGGAGAACCTGAGCGCTGGAGACACGAGTGGGCAAGTGTTGCGCCTGTTTCTCCACCTGCGAGCGCCGTGTTTTCAAGTAGACCAATTATTTATTGCTCTGGGACATTGTTGTTTTGTGAAAGGCGCTATTTTAAATAAATTGACTATTATTATTCAGGAAACAAAAGTAGCCCTCCCAACGCTACCTGCTGTTACGTGCAAGGCTCAGGATTTGAGGACGAGTTTTCGTCTACGTGATGCGTCACAACAAAATACATTCCCAAAATTGAGAATGACCAAACTCTGGCGACTCTAATCTCTATTGCGAAACAAATTATGCGTGAGGTTACATGGGATTGAATTGACTTGTGGACCCAGACTAGTAAAGGGCTTGCCACTAAAAAATAAACATATAACGGTCTCGTTGCTTGCTACAAATACATTACAACAAGAATGTATAGAAGTTCGTATCGGCAACATCATCACGGACTGGAATTTTACAGTTTGTAGCGGATGGCACAAACATTCAACTTTCAAGATACAGTGCATCTGTTTTAGAAAGCATTCCATTTTACACAGTGCCTATGTTGCACTCGTGAAAATCTAGGGTATACAGAGATGCACGTTTATAAATGTACTTACTTCAGAAGAAGTACGTGTGATTATAATGCTATGCTTTCGACTGCATGTTGAGGAAGTGTTAAATCTGATCAGACCTCTAACTTTAACCGCAAACCTTTGCCAACCTGTACTGGCCAGGAAAACATTTGCCAACCTGTACTGCTGGCCAGGTAAACATTTGACAACCTGTACTGGCCAGGGAAACCTAAAACACCAGTTTTGTAAATTAATCAAGACAACCTGCATGACAAAGATGGTATGGAGGGCATCATCCAACAGTGGGTGACCAAACGGTTGTACATTATTATTATCAGTGGCAAATGATTTTTGGCCAAAAGGCAGAAAGAGAAGAAACCTTTACAAAATTAACTTCGGGAATGTGGGACTGACAGTGGTGCCATGACTCAGTGCTTCAATGGTCTTCAATCGAAGGTCATCAGACCATCAGAAATAAAGGTAATCCATCACTGATATATATCTACAGCAAGGTGATATCTGTTGTGAGATATTCTTCTTATCACGATGCATCCCGTCTTTTGTACCTCATCAGTGGCAGCCACAGCCTGATGGCCCACGTGGGAGGGTGAGCTCACCAATGGGCCTACCACCTCTGGCTTGCACCCTGAGCCTAAAGCGGGCTGCCTGTGGGTCTCACCCCCTCCGATCCACACGTTCAACGACCAAAAGCATCACACAGAAGCCCTTTCGACAAAACACCGAGTGGCAGCATTCATCGCTGCGCTTTGCTCATCGACGAATGAACATGATGTGTTGGCTTATTTTACAGCTAAAGCAGTGAACTATTTGTCTTTTGTCAACGTGACACTTTTTTACTGATTGGCCGTGTCGGGTGGTGGAGGGTTACGACACATTTATAAATAACGCGATCTAAACCCAAAAAAGTTGATTATGAATAATATTGGTCGCGAAAGCCTGCTACGTGTTAAGCTGAGGATAAGAAGACTGAAATTGTGAACGTTAAGTTAACACGTCAAGAAGCGGTTGCGATATTTCTCTGCGCGCAAAGCCGACTTTGAAGACCACTTGCCAAATTTAAGCGAAGGGCAATTCAGGTTCTCAGCAACGTTAGGCCTGCGTACAGATAATATATAAATAACCTCCGAAATGAAATGTAATATATCCTCGAACAACAAACGTGCGTGTGGTTTTTAGAGATTGATTACTCGTATAACAATAGAACTCCGCGTTCACACCCACCTGCCATTCAGACGTCGCCGGTGCGGCTGGTGTGGCATAAGGGTTGGTTCAGGTACTGAGGGGCCTAAATTACTTCCACTGGAGACTCCCTGTTAAATCCTTCACTGTCAGCGTAACCGTGCCACCCACCTTTTCTGTATGAGCCACACTGACATCCTGTTAACAGCCCATGCGCACATGCCCTGCGGTGCTGACGTCTAGAAAATTGCATTTCAGAAACAGTTTTTTTTCTTCTTCCTTTACAGCAACAAGGCTGATTGACGGGGTAGGGTAGGGACTTTCAAAATAATGTTTTTCACTTGAATTAAATCAACTTCGATTCTATTCTCGTGTGTGGGAATATGTACAGCAGATGAACGCCAATGTCGAGGTCTGATGGCCACGAGAGGGCTGTAGGAGAGAGAGTTCGTGTGGTTTTGCTATTCCTCCTCCATTGAAGAAGCGTACACTAACAGTGGATTACTAGACGGTCATAAGTTTGGGTTTCATGGCCAATATTGCACTGCGAAATGTTAACTCCCTCGCTTGATATGCAGGAGGTCGTGGGTTCGATCCTGACCCTGATGCTGCTGTATATTTGGAGTTTGCGTGTCTCTCTCCCCGTGGTTGCGTGGATTTAGTCAATGTCCCTCATGGCACACAAAGGGCCATTGCTAGGAATGTCGCCTATTATACATTAAAGGCAGCGTTATTGATGAAAGTGCTCATTTTTTGGGGGTATTTGCGCTTGTGCACCATTGCCAATGAAGGATCACCAAATTATTTGTTGAACTTTGTAAACAGCCGTGTAGCTTTCGAGTGTACAGGTGGGGCCCATGGGCTGGAGAGGCCTAGAGGCTGAGCATCTAAGGGGGGCGGAGGAAGAATGTGACAGGGGTCCCATTTGGTTACGGCGCCACGGTGGCGAGACGTTAACTACCTCGCCTGATGTACAGGAGGTCGTGGGTTCGATCCCGACCCTGATGCTTGTATATTTGGAGTTTGCATGTCTCTTTTCGGAGGAACATCGCCTCTGACTGGCGAGTACAAAATGTGCTACGGTAAATGATTATTACGACTTGCAATAATAAACAGTCCATATACCAATTTATTCCTAAGAGTCCATGGTGTCCTTTAACACAGAGGTGTCGGGACGAACAATCCATCCGCCCTATATAATGGCAAATGCGCTCAGATTTGAAGGACCTGAATAAAAGCTCTCTCTCTATTTTTAGGACAGATTACCCGCAGCCGACACATCACCGCAGCTGGGCGGCGTGATCATTATCCTGAATTCGAGGACTGATGTTACCTGATTTTCGTGCTGCAAGCTGACTCTTGCCCTGCCCTGTCTAATCCAGGCAGGCTAATGGACCACAGAAGCCTGGATACAAATAAATGCACTCCGAACCGGAGCGTGCATTAGTGCGCGGTCTTCAATTTCGACATTCAGTTCGGTGACAAAAGGCTGTCAGAACAACCAACCTCTGGCGAGCGCGTGCGCATTTCCGACAGATTCACGGTCGTCACAGGTGTAGCCCCCGGTTTTGTTTCACAAACAACGCTTGCTCCCGGGGTCTGTCATGCTTACTTTCACACAAAGTGAAATATGATGACGTATTGCTGACGATTTATTACGAAGCCTTAAACAGTACGTGAATTGTAGAATTTAATTCGATGTACTTTGGCCAGTGAAGAACCATTTGAGATTCACTGCATCTTAAGCAACAATGTAGTTGAACCACGTAATAATAATAATGTCCTTTGATTATCTACTGCTGGATGAAGGCCTTCCCACACCATGTCTGTCATGGAGGTTTAAGGGCCATACTTTGCCACGCTGGTCCGTGTGGAAAGGGTGGGCGAAAACTACTGCGCACTCATTTCTGCACCCACGCTTCCTCAAATTTTGTCCGCATATTTAATCCACGTATTCATCATTAATATCAAACTGACGCATATTTGATTTTGCTGGAACTAATTTACATGCTTTTGGCATTTGAGCACAGGCGTCTGAGATGGATGCTGGGGATTTCGTGGCAAGACAGAATGAGCAAATTGCATAATTCTGGAAAAGAACACAGCAGGTGAATATTGCATATTTGATTTGGCAAAAACGGTTCGGCTGGGTGGGGCATGTGTGCGGGATGAGGAGAGGGCCAGTTGTCGAGAAGCATCGGAGTGATCTCCACGAGTCCTACAACCAAGGGGGGGGGGGGGGAGCTGGACCGAAGACCAGACGTGATCAAAACCCAAGCACGTCGGCATTAGCGACTGCTACAAATTAAATTGAAGCAATAATCGTGAATCGTCTGTATCGCTCGCGCTTTAAAATTTTGACTCGTGTCACAGCAATGATGGGCATGGGCCCCTGGTGCAAGTAATAGAATGTGTCCCTCCCTGTCCAATATCTCCCATCCTCGTAGCCCGGTGCTTGGACCCCTTCCTCTGGTCCGTGGGCCTCGGTGCAGCCGCTCCGCCTTCACACTCGACAGCGACGCCACCGATTTAACATTTTTTTTATTTTGTGCATGGCTATGGATGGTTGTTTCACACGCACGTGCACGCAAAAAGAAAACCATGAAAACCCGAAAATGAAAACGCACACTCGCCGCTGGCCCTGCTTACCGACAACCATCATGAGCAGCCAGACGGCGTGGACGGCGGGGCCGCGCTGGCGCCCGTAAGGCGCGAACAGGTAGTGCATGAGCGGCGGCAGCAGGAAGAAGGCAACATTGCTCACCTGCAGCGCGAACAGAGAGAAGAGCATTTCAGGTGATTGTTATTATTGTTACACGGCAGATTGCTGTAACCCACACTCGCTGCATGTCATGCAAAAGCCGAAGTGATTTGTTCCTGAAATAGACATCAAGGTGGTGTTCAACTCCTCTTTAGAGGCCTAAGCCAGTGGTGGAAATTCTTTGGCAGGCGCAGGGTCTTTACATAATATTAAGCATCATTACGGTCTCGCATAGGGGAATATAAAGCCAGCAAAGGTACGATCGGGGATGCCGTGCTTGTTCATCCATAGAATGGCAAGGCGAGTCCTGGAGCAGGGGTCGATAGAGAAGCAGGCTGTGTGCTCAATGAGTTTGGATGTGGGCTTTTATCGTGAGCCTCTGAGCTACCATAACCCTCACTCCAACCAGAACCCTAACTCTATATCTTAGACCGGTGAGTCCCAAAATATGGTCTGCAGACCACTGCTGCTCCACAAGGCCATGCGTGAGAAGTTGCCCGGGGAATAGTTTCAGATACATTATTTTTTTACAATTTTTTTTTATTTTATCAGGCAAGGCCCACTGACCCATATAGATATTTTTCAGAAGTTACCTGGAAACAAATGCTAGCCCAACGAAGTGGGTTATCGCGTGGACATTTGTATCAGCCAAATACTCTAAACGCACGTTGATTCTAAATGTGGAGGGCAAAACTTGGGGACCCAGAAAAAAATCCACATGACCACGGAGAGAACACACAAACTCCAAATATACAGGCATCGGGGTCGGGATCGAACCCACGACCTCCTGTATACCAGGCGACGTAGTTCATATCTCGTCACCTCGTGTCGCCGGAAATGATATTTTTCCCAAAATAAAAGATTTTGTTATTTCATGGTGGGCCACAAATCTTCTTCAAGGCCCTTGAGCAAAACATACAGGTCTGATTCACGATTAAAGTATTATAATTGGGCAGGAATTGTTGTTTCGCTTATATGCCGTGTGTGTGTGTGTGTGAAAAAACCAGCACACGACGAAAATAATAACAAACTCATGATCATATATACTTGTGGTTAATTATTCCTTCGGAGTATTGGCGACTGAGCATATTTTCCCTTATCTGCACTTATGCATTTGCTCAGTCAAAACCACAAGGTCAGCAGGTTTGGGCCACAAACATTTATAAGCATGGTGTCCTATGACCACAGGTGGGACAAAGTCATTGTTATGCAAGTCCAAGTCGAGTCTGAAGTCATCAAATTCATGACTCGAGTCTGACTCGAGTCCAAGTCACATGACTCGAGTCCACACCTCAGAGGTGGGACAAAGTCATTGTTATGCAAGTCCAAGTCGAGTCTGAAGTCATCAAATTCATGACTCGAGTCTGACTCGAGTCCAAGTCACATGACTCGAGTCCACACCTCTGCCTATGACTGACCAGAGGTAACTATGACAAAAACACAGTCACAATGTTTAAGGGAAGAAAGGAGTTACGAGATCATTGACAGTAAAGATTACAGCGTAAGTACGTGAGTTTAACCCCTAAAGTATGGTAAGATAAGCATAAAACTAATTTGGAGCCCTGTTTCCTGATAAAAAAAAACTGATAAAACAATGATTCACAGAGCTTGTTGAGCTTGTGTTAGAGAAGTGCAGTGGTGTACAGCTTTACAGCTTCAGAGATGATTTAAGGGGTGGTTCAGAGATGGTCCAGCAGAAGAGTTCGTGCTATCTTACCTGGGTAGAGGAAAGGTGAGCTACAATGTAAACACTAAGACTCCACAGTGCACTTTTAGGATATGTTCATGACGGAAACGTCAAGTGGTGTTTACTTTTCATTTACCATCCAATTCTTTAAACATTTGTGACCGTCCCTAGTTACAGCAACGTGAAAACTCCTCTTATCCTGTGGCCACGTGGAGGAGATACTCCACAGATCCTATTATCTACGGGGGGGAGGGGGGGGTTGGAGGTAGGTTCATCCGTGTGTTTTCACTGCAAGAATCAATCACGGACAAATGCGGATAATTGCATTGTTATTTTCACTTCACTCGTCCTATGCTCAACAAAGTGTCGCGGTCACTGGGAGACGCCGGGACACTGCATCGCGATAGCGCGAGCCGGGACGGTGCGGTGAGCAGCCCGAGTTGGGCACAGCGGCGTGGGGAGCGGTGCGGCGCGCTCCTCTGGGCTCGCGAGCACGGCCCGTGGCCAGGGCAGCGACACCCGGGTCCTCGGGCCAGAGGTCGCAAACGGGTTTTGATTCCTTACCCATACCCGGCCGCACCAGGGTCGCAAATGGGTACCCGTTCCCTACCCGTACCCGTACCCTACCCGAAATGAGTGACAAACGGTTACTCACCAGTGACTGACTCACGGCCTACCCGTACCCGGCCGCACCAGGGTTGCAAACGGCTACCCGTACCCGTACCCGGCCGGGTACGGGTAGCCGGGTATCGGGTAGGGTACGGGTATCGGGTACCCGGTTGCGACCTCTGCCTCGGGCTGAGCGGCCCTTTGCCACGGCAGCAGCAGCAGCAGCTGTGAACCCCCCGCTTTCCATGACCCCGCGCTCAGGATGAACGGATTTCCCCCAGACCACTGCCGTCCCGTTGGATAAACAGTAGTTGTCGGTAACACTGTGCAACACACAAACATTGTTCCTGGGTAGTAAGTGTTATTTTCGAATTGCTTATGCCTCAAAAGTACAGAAATGGCTATTAGTCCCCACAAACTTTGCTTTTGTGATCAGGACAGTGATATTTTGAAATGTACCTATTTTCAATGAGAAAACGTGGTGTGCATTTGTGTCATTCCTTCACGTAAAGTCCTGGTCACAAAAGCAAAGTTTCCTGGGGAATAATAGCCACTTTCTATACTTTTGACGCACAAGCAATTAGAAAATAACACTTACTACCCAGGAACAAAAACCGTGTTACGTAGTGTCATTAATCAGTGTAGTTCTACCGGACACACTCACACAAGGCTTTGCATGCGCGCTTTGTTTTTACCCACGGGATATATTGCATATCGCTGTGCTACGTTATGCATGTATGTCACATATGTCACGTATGTCACATATGTCACGTATGTCACATATGTCACGGCGTTGTGCGTGATAGTGGCGGTCGTGTGAGAGGTGGATAGTCCAACTGCGATACGATTTGTTACAGCGCCTATTGCTCAATAGCAGCAGCTTTCATCTTGCACATTGCGACAGAACTATGTCATGCCCAGCACGTGTTTGTTTGTGGCCACGTGCTGTGCTGATACCACTGGGATTGTCAATCTCTAAGGGTGACTCACAGCCGGTACTGTAAAGGTAACTTCCTGTGCCCTCAATCAGATTACATCTATCGGCTGCCGAAGACCCCAGTGCCACACTAAATGAGAGTTCACGACATAGCAAAAAGACAAAGGGCCCACTTATAGCCCTAACAGATGTTTTTGGGCAAGTGCTGTTAGCGGTACACGAGGGGGGTGGGTGGCCAGCACCACAACACAGCTATAACCATAATAAAACCACACGGCTAAAGTTGACGGCCAGGTGAGGGAAATTGCAATCTTGATCATCCAAATGTGTTTTCTCAAGTGAAGGTTAAAACCTGGATATTTTAAACCATAATCAGTGCTTATTGAGTCATGTGGATCTCAACTACACTCTCCGATCTGCACCTGTTGCTAAGCTTTGCCCGTCAGCTTCACGTCTCAACTCGTGTGCAGACATAGCGAACATAGAACTGAACACAATCGTCAATAACACTGTGGCACTGAAAAGTAAAAAAAATAAATAGGCAATGGCGCTAATAGTACAACAAAGGGCCATTGCTCAGAATGTCACCGATTCTACATTTTTGTTCCTTTAAAGGCAGCGTTATTGATGAACTTGTTCATTTTGGGGGGCTATTTGCACTTGTGCACCATTGCCAACGAAGGATCACCAAATAATTTGTTGAACGTGATAAACAGCCGTGTAGCTTTCGAGTGTACAGGTGGGGGCCCATGGGCTGGAGTGGCCGAGATGCTGAATTTGACAGGGGTCCCATTTCATTACGGCACCACGGTGGTGAGACGTTAACTACCTCGCCTGATATACAGGAGGTCGTGGGTTCGATCCCGATCCCGACCCTGACGCTTGTATATTTGGAGTTTGCATGTCTCTCTGCCCGTGGTTGCGTGGATTTATCTCCGGGTCTTCCGGTTCTTCTCTCCACGTTTAGAAACACGCGTTTAGAGTATTTGGCTGCTATCAGTTCCCACGTGATAAGCCGCTTCGTTGAGCTATCATTTGTGACCAGGTCGCTTTTGAAAAATAGCTACATAGCTCAGAGGGCCTTGCCTGGTAGAATAAAAAGTATAAATAGTGTTCCTTGCACGATTGCCCATGCCAGGCATGCTATTCCATTGGTTTAAACAACACAAAGCGAGTGATACAGATACATTCACCTTGATTCATTTACTTTGTTACGCAGCATTCTCTATTTCCAATGGCTTTATTTTTGGCAACCAGTAGTTTAGCCTAGAGGTCAGCAAAGCATGCCACTCAGCTGGTTTTCCTTTGGCTGATGGTTTAATTACTGATCTAACATGAAATGAGAATTGTGCGGCCGTACAGGTGCCAGCATTTCCAGCTCAAATATAGAGGAATATGGAGCACGTACACATAATAAGTGGCGAATCTGTATTATTTACGTATGTCTGGGGAAGCTTATGCTTTATCGTTTAAGCGAATGCGAAGAACGGGAAAAAGGGTACGGGAGGCCCCATTCCATTGCTTGCACCAGGGTCTATGCCAACCACGCTACGGGTACTGAGGTTGACCTCAGTGTGCACGAGGCACTGTGTATATCGGACGCTCTCAACCTGTTAGCTGACAGACATGGAAATGTATCAGTTGAGAGCTATTGCATACGTGGCCTGTTTGTTCCAAGGGTGTGTTACAGCCCTATCCCAATCCAGATTGACGTCTCTGTTGAGCCTTGACAACGGGGCTAGCAAAAGCGGTTCATCAAGTTATTATTAA